TGACTCGTTGGCCGACGTCTGAAGGCGATGCGATCATTGACCTTTTAGCGTAAAAATGTGATTTTTCGTTAAAATATACGAAAGCTTTTCGTTAAAATTCTTTTTATCAATAAATAAAATATCTTGATTTTTTTTATTAGTACATCAATATTTTTAGTCTTCTTTAAAAAAAAAAGATTTCATCCCTATTTTAGCTAATTAGGGACCAGAACAAAAGTTTTCCTTTATTTTTTTAACAAATAATAAGATAATTATATTGAATTCATTTAAACTACGAGAAGAGATATTCAAACACAGAACCTCATGCGCATGAACGAGAATGCTCTTAACCATCATATACTAATTAAATTCCAAATACACCATAGTCATCAACATTCCACAAAAAAATTTAAAAAAAAATTAAAAAGAAAGAAAAGTCACGATCAACACCATATCTTCCGTTCCTCATCATCTATTCAAGCTCAAGAATTGTATTTACAAGAGCCGTGGCTTGGGTCGGTGGTGGTGATTTGTCCGGACCCAGAGAAATCACAGTTGAAGTCGTGACGGCCGTTAGCCTGGTAGTAAGCATTCATAAGGTAAGACGCGCGGGCTCTAACGTCGTTATCAAAGCAAGCGCCGCCTGGCTGGATGGACTTGCAATCAACTCCGGTGCTACAGACGTAGTCAATGTTTGATTGCAATGCTTGGTTGCTGGCTGCTGATTTTGCCACGCACCACTTCTTGCCTCCTGCTACCGGTGTTGTCGGCGTCGCTGGTGTTGATGGTTTTGCTGGTCCGGCAGGCTTTCCTGGAGTTGCACCATCCTAAATCACACAACGATTTAGTATACATAAAGACTAACATCATTCTACCATAACAATATAGCATATGTGAGTTAAGTCAGAATGTTAAGGCAGTATATCCGCCACTCTGAAATATCGATAAAAATACATCTTCGGTACAAATTCAAAATTTGTATGATGAGAATCCAATTTGGTTAATATGTAGCCTAACAGAGAACATTAAGAAACTACTAAAATTATATGTTTGCATCAAATGCCAATTCTTGTATATCCACAAATTTTGTTCAACAAATAAGGTTTGAGTAGTACCGATGACACTACATTTTACTATATTAGCTAAATATGACAATGTTTTATTTGTTTCTTGACCATTATGATACATAATTATTACATTTAAATTAGAAATTTACACATAATTAATAACCGAAAACTGATTATGTCTCTCTAACTAGATGTAATTTTTTATTTTGTGATTCAATAAAGTTCACCTCGTTCGGCTTTAGATTTTCCTAAAAATCATAACTTAAAACTAGGAACATTTTTGCTCCCCACTCTAAACTTTTATGCATGGTTAATTATTTGTCATGTGTCACTTAATCATGATTAATTTTTTTCAAAATAAAAAAGTAACATTTAATATAAAAGTTTACTAAAATTAAATGAAAGAACAAATGATAAATGATTAGACGTATTCATGAACATGCATCTTAATTATAATGGCGAGCAAAAGTATTCGCCTAAAAGCTGAGATCATTTGTTAACTTTACACGTTATTTGGTGAACAATTTAATTCAATAAACAGTATGAATTAAATTAATTTTTTTTTTAATTGGATTTTTACCAATATAATTCATATCACTAGACAGATAATAAGATATGTATGTTAAAAAGTTAATAACTTATAAAATAAAATTTACCGCTATTCTTATTAAAATAAGTAATCTACCATCTATGTTCCTTAAAAATTTCTTGATTTGATGGGGTGCAGAAACGTTCCCTGCAACATTATTTAATTTAACACAAGAAACAAGACACCGAATCTAGAAAATTTGCTTAATCAACGGTGCATGTGACCGACGTTTTAAAGTAAAAAGCCTACGAATTAACAAATAAATATTTAATACAGAAAAAGACAAATAAATATTTAATCAAGAACCAACCTGTTGATTGCGCATAACCCCAGCATTGTAAACCGGAGTCATGTCCGGTTTGAACAGCCCAAAGTTCTTCTCAGCGGCCGAACCGGGTTTCTGGTTCTCATTAAACAAAGCAAAGATGTAAGTCTCGATCGTACGGTTCGGCATCAATGGCGTACCCTTACCGGACTCAATATGCTTGATCAAGTTACCGTTGTAGTCCGCAGCGTTCTGAACCGAGCAGACTGGGAGCTCGCAAGCCGAAGGCCAACCGGTCTCGCCCGCAATCAAGTTCACGTCACCGAACCCGATTGCCTTGGCAGCTGAGTAAACCGCGTCCATCAACCCATCGAACATGTTAGTGTAAAACTTGCCGGTGAATTTATCGCGCACACCACTGTTGGGTCTGAAGAGAGCGTAGTTCTCCTTTTCGGGTGACCACCCGAAAAACGGGTACGGGTTAACCATGAAAGGCGACTTGGTCTGGCGACAGAACAGAAGGATTTGGGCCAGAATTGGATGCACCTCCGGTCTGAACCGGCCTGTGCTGGGCGGGTCGGAAGACAACATCATTCCGAGCGAGTGAGGGGTCGAGACCTTGACGTCCTCGATTCCCTCACGGATCAAAGCGTTGTGGAAGGTCCTCATGGCAGGGACGAGGCTCGCCTTGAGAGCGTCGTCCCCCCAGTGGAGGACCTCGCTGCCCATGGCAATGTATTTGATTTTGGTTGCCGGGTAAAACGGCTTGACGTGATCAATGATCCAATGGCGAGCGGTGCGTAGATTTATGAGGCTCTGGATGTCTCCGTTGGGGATGGTAATCGTCAAGGAGATGTTGGTGTTGGCGAATGCCTTGATGATGTCGGGGTTGGCGTCGAAGAGTTTGACGGCGTCGATGTTGGTTTGGGTTTTGATGAAGTCGGCGACTTGGGCCGGTGGCGGGAGGTTGTCGGCGAGAGTACCGTAGTTTACGCCGATGGAGTAGGCTGTGGCGGCGAGCTGGACGAGGAGGAGAAGGGAGAGAAGGAGCTTGGTGGTGGCCATGGTTGCTTTTTTCTTTTTGTGGTGGTGCTTTGGGAAGGCGGTGGATCCTCTCCTTTTCCTTTGTAGGATTGGGGTGTCGGCAACTTGGTAGTCGTATTTATAGTGGGGAAAGGGATAGGACATAAGGGGAAAGGGATAGGACATAAGAAGATAAGGGACGAATGGGATTGCGACATGTAGTTGGGCAAATATCACTTTTGTTTGTGATTTGGGTAATGAATCTAATGAAAATTTAAAAGTAAAAAACATGTAAGATGATGATTTGTTTATTACTTAAATTTTGATAAATATACGATATATCATTTAATTTATAAATTTTGTTTTTAAATTTAGTTTCACTTTCTTTATCCTTATTATTTTTATTTACTGCTAATTATGTTGAATTTTCTTGAAGTAAGCTAATTGTTAAGATGAATTTGATCTTTTTATTGCACTTTCAAAACCTGAAAACAACAAACCCTAAAACGAATTATCTATTTGGTCATATTACCATATAGATGATAGAAAAAATTTATCAGACAGTTAGAATGGATATAATATCACTGTTCTTTTGATCTCTTGTCTCTTATTATCACGTAAAGAAAAAATACGCCATAACAAGTCTCAGAGCCGTTGTTTGAATCAAAAAGCTCAAGGTAGAATCAAGTGCAATGCATAGAGAAGCATCTCTAGCTGCTGAGAAATTGAAATGTTAACTTTTGACTTTGGGTGATGATACATACCAACTCACCTTTGGCAGTTGACTGGGACAAAACTAGCCGTTGTTGTAAGATTCAAACATCGTTGTATCATACCCCATGTTCTTTTGGCAAAGATGGAATATGATATGATTTTTATATTGATGGTATTGCCACATTGTTACACTGCAGTGTTGTGAGTTTCTTTTGGAATATTTGTTTAAAACATCATTCAGATCGTCCACTCACAATACTATGCCTATAAATTAGTAACACCATATATGATATTAATTTCACACTCATCAATTTCTGTTACATAATCCCTAATCATATATGGTTAAATATATAGGAATTGGATATGCTCCGGACCTTAGTGTTTGGAGCCTAATGATCAATCCATCTTAATCGTTGATTGGTGTGTAAAAAAAATTAGAATTGTTGATTTGTATGTAATGGATCGGAAAAATAAGTTATTAAAAACCGTTAAATTTAATTTGTGTGATCCAAATTAGTTAATCCTTTATGCTTCGAACATTAAGTTCCAGAGCGGATTCAATTCCAATTATATAAACATTTGAGTGGCGTGTTTGATGATGCGTAGTCAAAAACAGATGTCATACTTGACCAGGACCAGAAGCTTTGGCATCCGATACCTCATCGTCATCCTTCCACCATCTTTGATTCCACGCGTTTAAATCTCAGAGTGAGCAAAGCATCTCCAAAACTTCGATGTTCCAACTGGAAAGGATCTCTCCGGATCCTCTCCACCAAGTTTACCAAATCTACTCATTCGAGTTATTGAAATTTGATTTAACGATTAAAATTAGTATAATTTTTTAGAATTTCATGTTTATAATTGTTGGATTAAATTTTAATAATTTGGATGGATGAATTTGGTGAAAGAATCCTTCGTTCCAACTGGGAACACGACAGAAATCTTTTGACCTAAACTTGCCGGTGTAGACACCGTGTTGGATTTCCATTGGTTGCCCAGAAAAATAATTGTCTAAAAGATGGGGCCGCGACAGAAAAAAATGATGCGCTGGAATTGTGCACGTTGATTTTGTTGTCATTTTACTTTTCTTCTTTTGTTGTCAGGAAAGCAATAAAGTGATGTGTTCCGAGTCTGTTCACGCGGTTTCTAGTTTGTAACGTTGTAGACTAACGAGCGGGTGATGGTGAGGGCTAAAATGTCCAGAACACAAAGGTCGGCACGCATTTAGCACACAAGGCACTTACTCTTATTATTTTTCTGCAAGGTACCAAGAAACAGTTTCAATTTTTTTTTTGTCAAGTTAGATATTTTTTTACTACATTAAAAATAAATTTAAAAAAAAAAACTAGTACAAGGCCCCAAATAAAAAACCATGTAAACAATTCCAAATAAAGTAAAAGGTCAAAACAAAATGAGAGTTGCAGTCCAAGATACAACAAGAAACTCACACAAGCTTAGGCCCAAAGGTTGCAAAAACAAACAACAAAAAAAACCTAATCTCTACTAGCATAAACCACACTATCGCCGCCGTCACATTCTCAGAGGAAGCCAAACTCTGAACCTGAGAGAGTATACACCATATCAAAGTCTCATTCACGAACTCCTGCAAATATATACAAACAAAATATCTTATGTGTAGAGACTGGCGCTAAAGGGGTATTTTACATACCAAACACTTGGCCTTGATGGGGATCTGACATGCCAATTGGGGGAAGGACAATGGATATGATATCCAATTTCTTATTGAAGCATACTGATCTTAGCACATGGTGGGATGGGGATGAAGTATATCACAGCTAGGGAGGAGGGAGCAAGGAAAATTAAAAGACAGAAAGTAATAAAAGCAAGCCAAAAAGGCTAGATAAGGGGCATGAAGCCTAAATCTGAGACAAGTTCAGGGATAGTTGAGATCTAGCTTAGGAAAAACTGAGATAAAATTAAAGAGATAACCAATAATGAAAACGAAGGAAGGAGACTAGAAAGGGGGAAGGAAGAGGAGGTGGATGCAAGGAGGGGGAAGGGGCAGAAGAGATGATAAAAGAGGAAAAGGAAGAAAGGCCAAAGAAGAAACAAGGGAAGGAGAAGTAAAAAGAGGAATAGCGGGCTGCCACCTACCCCGAGCAAGAGCAAGGGGCAGCTTCTGAAACTTCAAACTAGGGGGGGTGCTTATGAATCTAGAATTTGGAGTTCACATAGAGAGAAACTGCGTAACTGCAGCCCGCTTCGCCTTGTTTTCTTGTTAAGAGAGTTTCTATTTAGGGTTTCATAATTTTGTAGCCCGATTTGGATCGTCAGCCCAGCTGCTTAATATAATGGGATTGATTGGGATGATTCTGGTTGTTTATATGGTTTTTGGATTTAGTCCAATGCTGCCCTTGACAAATAAGAGCGACATGGATTTTGCTTAAACGAAATGAATTACAATAATGCTCAAGAAATACAACTCCAAAAGAAATAAACTTTGATTAACCTTAAGTTTAGGCTTATAATTAGTTGTCTTCATTCTTTTTAAAGAGCATGAACAAATGGCTGACATGCAAACTATTCAGCTTGTTTTGGGGTAGCGCGTGATTATAGTAAACTTGGTGTGTATGACACCACATAAATTACATGCACACAATTTATGTCTTAGAAGGAGTTTATACCTTGTACATATTTGAATGACAAGGCATTTGCCTCCTTTCAAATGGAACATTAGTGTAAAACTCTAGCTTGGTTTTGTCTTTGTTTTTGATAATTTTTTAAGCAGTGTCTTTTTTATTTTATTTTATTTTATTTTTTAAATGTAGTTCTTGATTTTGACAATCACATTTGGAGTGAGTTCTATAATAATTGGTGATCCCGAATGACTTGTTAAGGATGAGTTAACAACTTCTTTTTAATGTGTAAGCTGTGAGCATGGTAAAAAGAATTAGTGAAGCGAAACTTCCACAACTCTCTCTCTCTCTCTCTCTCTGAAAAAGCTTCAAAAGAAAACCCTTCTCAGCCACCGACCCTAGCCTTTGGCTTTTGGGTCGGTGGCAGTCCTTATTCTCTCTTGCTTTCTTCTGCTTTTCCTTCTTCTCTTCATTTTCTTCTCTGTTTCTCTGTTTTTTTTATGAGCTATGTCTCATCTTTCTGAGCTCTTGTCTCAGTTTTGTACCCGCTCCTCAACCAACTATTGCTCACCGCCATCCCCCTTCTCCCTCCCCATCACACCCTTTTCTCCTACCTCATTCTTCATGCACTTCATCTTTTCCAACTCATAACCAGGAATTAGATTTCGGAGTGTTGGGCTCTATCTTGACACGAGGCCTAACCTTCAAAGTTCACTATCAATCCAGCTTACCGGAAAAATTGGGCGAAGTGTGGAACGATTCACGTCAGAATAAGGGTGTTTTACACACCCCATTCGCCCTTCCCTTTCCTCCTATTACTTGTGGTGACTTTTATTGCAGGCGTGGCTATGGAAACTTTGGCTCTTGGTGGATTGACTTTGCGTAATACTCTCATGTCTAGTTTTTGGTTCGGGTGCATTTTTCAATTTGGTGTTGTGGAGCCAAAAAATAATCAAGAGGCGACACGTGGATTTTTAGGTGAAGAGGACAAAATTACCCTCGAGACACACCGGGTTTCCTACACGCGAGTAGCGGAGAATCATCCATCAACCGAGTCAAGAGTGCCCAAAATAGGTAACAAGTTCAAATTTATCTCATCCATTTTTACTCCATATCCTCTACAAGGAAATCATTCCATAACCTTCAAAACCTTCCATATAAATTAAATTAATTAGGCTAATTAATGGATTAATTCTTAATTAATCCATCAATCACCAAATTAATCACCATTACACCCCAATGCTCTATACATAGGACTCCATTTTCTTTGAAAAACTAAGTCCACACTCTTGCAAAACTCCAAAAACTCTCTAAACACTTTTCTTTCTAAATTCTAACTTTGGCATCAGAGGTTTTTCGGCCAAAGCCCCCTCATTCATCGTGGGCGCGTGAGGCTTTTGGCCTTGACCCGAAGGTGTTAATTGTTTTGTAGGTGCAATATTGTCCAAGATGAAGGAGGAAGAAATTTGCATCCACAAATTGGTACTTTCATTGAGAGTTGACTCCACACTTGCAGAATACTCTCGCATCTAAGGTTTTCTATTTTCTTGTTCATTTGTAGATTTCTCGTACATTCTTATTATTAGAATTTTTTATTTGCAAAAATTCTTTGATAAAATGTAAAAGAGAAGTACAATGGCTAGAAATTTAGAGAATTCAACAAATGAAAATTTCAACATTCAAGAGATGGGACCACAACGATCCACGAGGCTAAATGTGACAATAGGTGGAGCGACACCACCACCATGAGTTTCCACCACGGGAACCACCACGATGGCCACCCACGGCGAGGTCCATGGTGTCACCACCATGACCCGAGACGTGCCATGCAAAACGTCTCACGGCACTAGGGCCACAACCCAAGCCATGTCACGCCACGCCCAATGCAAGCTCAACACGTTGCCAAGCCGAGCCCAAGCCTCGCACCCGCGTGCGTCATACGCCAAGCAACCTACTCTCGTGGCCTAGCCTGCTCCCGCGGCTCAGCCTACTCCTATGGCCCATCCTGCTCCCGTGGTATTCCAAGCAGCCCAAATCTGCCCAAGACTATCTCAACCATCCGAACCAACCATCGAGCCGGGGGCATTTTCACCATGTTTCTCTGCGGATTTGACATTTCCCAATTCAAATCTCGTGCTCGAAGCCTACCACACTTCCACTGCTCAAGGAGGCACATTCCTTCCAAGCTCTTCCAATCCAAATGGCGAACAACACTTATCTCGACAAGCCATAGAGTTGACAAGCGTTCTTGCACAACAGACGACCTTGGTGAATCAACTTTTGCAAAGCATCGAGATCCAATGTGCCCCGGACGAGGTGTCCCGAAGTAGGATAAGGGCAGACGAACCTTTCCAATAGCATCCCGGTAAGTAGCCACGAGCTGAACGTTCGGGTAGTATACATTTTTGATTAGGCTCTCGAGATAGCGTATACTCCCGTTTTAGCGTGCAGAGAAGCGTGCACTCTCGACTAGGCCCGATGAAAAGTATATACTCACGGTTGGGGCCACACTCCGATAATCAACATAAGCAGCCTTCCAGATAAAACATTCATTCGCGGCTAGGCTCGCAAGGAGTGTCCTCCACGTCACATCGGAGTAGGCAACATGATGGACAGAGAGAAGCAGTCACTCAATTCGGCTCAAGTTCAACCGGCAGTATGCGAAAAATTCCCTTGTTTGCCAGGTGTGGACCACATGCACCCTGCCATAGCGTAGACGCGCCGAGTACCAGAAAGACACACTAGCCCAACCACAAAAAACCGGGGGTAGGCTAAGGATTATTTCGGTTGTCCCAGCAATCCATCTTTCCTCAGCTGCACTCACGACAATGATTTCCATGCTCTCCAGTGCGAGAGGATAAACTAATTGCTCTCCAGTGCGAGAAGGTAAACCAATTCCCCGACACCTATATGGGTCTGCTCTCCAGTGCGAGAGGATAAAATAATTGCTCTCCAGTGCGAGAGGGTAACGAATTCCCCGACACCCATATGGGTCTGCTTACCAGTGCGAGAAGATAAACTAATTGCTCTCTAGTGCGAGAGGGTAAACCAATTCTCCGGCACCCGTATGGGTCTCCTCTCCAGTGTGAGAGGATAAACTAATTGCTCTCCAGTGCGAGAAGGTAAACCAATTCTCCGACACACATATGGGTCTACTCTCCAGTGCAAGAGGATTAACTAATTGCTCTCCAGTGCGAGAAGGTAAACTAATTGATCTCCAGTGCTAGAGGGTAAACTAATTGCCTCCAGTGCGAAAGGGTAAACTAATTTCTCGACACTTATCTGGGTAAGCTTTCCAGTACGAGAAGGCCACATAGTTTAAAAGATCGAATGTTTGAAGATCAACTAGGCAGCAAATGGTCATGGGGCAGCAGTTGAAAAGTGACATGTTTGTTACGTTATTGGAAAAAAAATTTAGATTTCCATATTTACTTGTCTTATATGGGAAACTCATTAAATGACCATTCTATTGCATGCGTTTTGGGGTGGGAAACAGGTGAAATGTGAGGTGCACGGCTAGCGTAACGTTTATGTGGACTGCTATTGTAACGGTTATGCTTGGTCTACATCAATTTATGTATTAAATCTTTACAACCGATTTTGTCCATATATGGAAATGGTGTTATCTAAATTTTGGATTCGTAATTATCTCTAATTTTGCACAAGTGCCCGTTAAGTATAAACAAATTAGCAATTTGCCCTTAATTTTCTCTATTTTCAAATAAAAACCGATATTGATCCTAGCTTCCAAAAAACACCCCTATGTTGGTTAAAGTGCCTTCTCAAATATTTTTTCAAATATATTCCTAATTACTAGGTAGAACCTATATCATGAATTTTTTTTGTTAAGTATATTCCTAATTTCTTAGGTAGAATACTATTCAGAGTAGTAAAGATTAACCCTAAAATAAAATTATAAATCAAACATAGACAGAGAGTGACAACAAGTATAGATTTAAAGCGTTTTTAAAATTTATTATTTTTTTCATTTGCCTATAACCGTACAAGTACTGTTTTGGAAGTTGTAAAACCGTACAAGTGGTTAGCCGTCAAAGCCGAGTGCTTTTATAATAAAATCTTACCTAGAAGTTTCAAATTGTTACATGTGAGCGTGCTAATATTACGGCATGCCATATGCATGAACTCTTTTATTTCATGTACTAACGTACGCTTACATTACTTATACTTCTGTAAGTACGCCAATATAAAAAAGTTTGGATCTACTATTCACTCATCTCATGCCACTAAGTTAAAGCTCAAAAACACTAATGTATGCTTAATTAAAAGCTAACATGCAAAGAGCAATAAGTGATTGAATAAACATATGTGGTATGTAGTGAATATTAATTTGTTTTGCCAATATATTTTCCAACCCCATATGTAATTTTCGTATGTATTATTCGTGGTAAATAAACACAAGCACCCATATTATGTAGGTTAATATTTTTCTGGCCACTTGGATATTTAGCAAATAGAACAATATACCAAG